ATTAAAGCGTAGAAAGTCTAGGACTACCTGTTTTCAATCGCTACATCTATCGTCCATAATAAGGCCATAAAAACTTAATGCAAGTATTTACTAGCCTTTTCATAAAAATGAAATAATTAAAGAACTGTGGAAACACATTGTGTAAACAAATATTGATAAACAATACATAAAAATTATAGAGGCAACGTATGTTTGTTCCATCTTAGTATGCAGCTCCTTAACAGTGCATATCGAAAACCGCGCACCTAAGAAGTGAGCCAATTAAACTTCAGTCTCATACATGAGAGCCTAACCTCTAGACCAATGAAATAAAAACTACTGGTGTACAAGTCTAACTTCAGTTAATCCACGATGTTGTGTGAACATCTTCCATTTACTCTGGTGAATGCCTTCCGTGCAACCAATACCATTTAACTATGCTGGTCATATCATCATCAACAGCAACGTAAAACTTTGCACGTAAGTACAGCAGTTCAAGTTGTCATACCACGTTAGCACAGAGATATAATTGTCAATTCAAATCCCATAGTAGTAGAGGTAATAAAAGTATTACAAGTAATCGGAGAGATTAGGGTTCGAATATGTTATTCAAGAAGTATAATTCAGTTAGGTAAATTTAGAAAGAGAAGGATAGAAGTGATGATTAATTCAGGTTAGAATTTCATAGAACACAAACAGTGGATGCACCTGCGCCATCGCAAACGATTTCCAGTCATAACATTTACGGTCTCTAACCAACGATTAATATCATCTCGCCGACCCCAACCACGTAGACTACATCTACCAACATGACTCAATCCACTTGTCAGTGACTTCATGGATTTCTGCCATGTTTTGTTCTGGCCTCCCTAGCTTCGGTCCAACCTATTCTTACACCGCAAAACATAGCTCGACGAGACAGTCGATGGTTAGGCATACTTAACGTATGTCCAAACCACCTCAACTGATGATGCTCCAATACTTCATCTACTGACCTGTCATCCTTACCTAACACCCTTTTCCTAATAACAGCATTGCTTACTCGGTTGTCCCACGATACTCGAGCAATGCTTCGGAGAAACCTATGATTGAAAACAAGTAACCTACGAATATTTTCTACTCTCACTGGCCATGTTTCACAGCCATAAATTAAGACGGAGCGAACTACCGCGCAGTACACCTGTCCTTTACTCAGCAAACCGATATCTCGCCTTCGCCATAAGTGATGCAAGTTGGCAAAAGCCAATCGAGCTTCCCGTATCCACCCCGAGATTTCGTCAGTCACCAGGCCATCGGCACTGATGAGACTCCCAAGATAAGTGAAGCGGTCAACACGCTCAACTACTTCACTCCCTATCACTAGTCCAAGTACCGATGTGAAACAATCTTGAAGCAACATTTTGCATTTCGAGGGGGAAAACCGCATCCCGAACATGCTTGCATTGTTGTTCAGGGTAGTCAGAAGATTCTACATTTTGTCAGCGTCTTCACCAAGTAGGACAATGTCATCGTCATATTCTAGGTCAATAAGCGAGCCACCTGGTAGGTCTACTCCTGCAAATTCAGACGAAGATAATGTTATATCTAGCAGCATGTCTCTGACAAGACTGAACAAGAATGGAGAGAGTGGACATCCCTGACGGACAGCACTTGAAGTAAAGAATTCCGGTGACAGTTCGTCATGAGCTCTCACTCGACCTGTTGTGTTCGAGTAGAGAGCTTGTAGGAGGTTAATGTACCAGCCCGGTTTTTCCCTAGTGTGCTCTTCACGAGCTCTAGTTGGGCATCGAAGTATTATTGAGGCTAATAATTTAGACACTATATTAGTTAGACTGATTCCTCTCTGATTGTCACAAGAGGACTTTTGTTCCTTCTTATAAATTTGGACAATCAAGGAGTGGGACCAGTCAGATGGAATTACGTCCAGTTCCCAGATTCTACCTGAGATCTCGGTCAATCGAGCTGCTAAAACTGGACAACCATCTTTAAAAATCTCAGAGGTCAATCTATCAGGACCCGATACTCTACCTCGGTTCAGATTTCCTATGGCTTTATCAACTTCATAAAGAGTAGGAGGACTTAAGATGGTTTCCCATTCAGGATGACTGGAGATCGTGGGCAACCGAAGTGTAGCTGAATTCCAGTTGAACTGATCCCTGAAGTGTTCTGTTCATCGATCCAATCTCCTGGATTGAGAATGAATGATACAGCCATCCTTTTCCGAGATAGTTTCCCTCACGCTGGTCATAACTTTACATTGACTTCAAATATGTCGAATTCATGAGTATATCAATCATGACCAATACACAAAATGACTGATTGTTTCAGTTAGAATCCCGTTTCTGTTTTACTTTTCATGATTACGAAAGACCACAAGCTTTGAATATCTTCAGCTTACACGACAAAATCATGTGATAGATGTGAATAACCACTATTGAATAACTTCACAGAAAAGCGTACATTATAAAACAGCGTGTGTGGGGAATCTAAGTTCTAAAAATAAATAATTTACGAAACGTAATTCATTTATCTTTTGATAACAAGATATTTATTTATGTTCGTAACACTATCGATACAAGCATAGAGATGAAAATCAGGACAACAGGTTGTTATTAAATATAAATGAAGTTTTAACCCAAGTCTTTCAAATTGGTTTTGATTGTGCTCAATTATTCTATAATAAACAATTTACTTTACTCTTAAATCAAGTCATTCTGCTTTCAAGTGATCAAACAAACAGTTTGATGAACTAGGTAGTAATTTCTCTAATTCATAATGGACGATCTATACATATTTAGATTGAGGATTAATAAACAAAAATACGAACCCGGAAAAATTTAAGCATCTTAGTTAGTTAGTTAGTTTCAATTACTTGATAATTTTTCTCTAGGGAAATAATACAACTAATTCGTACTTACGTACGAAGTTCTGCGTTGTATCTGTCTGTTTGTCTGTCTACTTAGAATCGAATTTATAGTCATCATCATCATCACTGACTGTATCATGTGATCATAGGTATCCGTTGAATATATACCACAAAAAGATTATGATATCAGAATTTTAAATTTAAATCAAAGAAAATAAGGATTATGTTAGAATTCATTTTTATTTTAACTGAACAGAATATCGTAATATCTGCACAGTAATCATGACTAAGGTGCAGCATAAACTTAACAAAACTGAATATTTGTCTGACAGAATAATTTGAACCTGAAGAATAATGATTACGCTTGAAAGAAAACGACAATCAAAATGATAAACATATTCTATGTATTAAAAATGATGGTCAAAAGAAGCGAAAACTTCACAGTTACTAACCAACAGAATAGATATATTATAGTGCACTCAATCAGATGAAACGTACATGGGTACATCAGTTCAAGCTGCCACGCTACATTAGCACAGAGAAATGGAATTATTAATTCAAGTTCCATAGTAGTAGAGGTTGGAGCACCAACACCAGTTATCGAGATCAGGGATAGAAGATTCGAGAAGTACAATCCAGTGAAATGAATTTGAAAAAAAGTCCTGGGGAAATCAGAAGACTAGAATTTGAGAGAAGACAAAGAATGGATGCATCTGGGCACTTAAAAACGATTTTGAACCATCTCATTCAGAACCTCGAACCATCGCTTACTAGTGTCTCGCATACATCAACCAGGTAGTCTACATCTACCAACATGGTTCTGTTCACTTGTCGGTGACTTCATGAATTGATGCTATGTTTTGATTTGGGTATGCGTAACGCATGTCCCAACCACCTTAATCGATGAGGATCCACTGCTTCATCAACTGATCTGCCATCCTTACCTAATACCCTTTCCCTAACATCAACATTGGTTACTTGGTGGTGATCATATACTGGTAACCTTCAAATATCTATTCTAAATGGCTATGCTTCACACCCGTATAGTAGGACATCTAAAAATGTGGTTAGTTTGGATACAAATCCAGTGCCTTCTCACTTCATAACAAATATTATGCACAAGACTAATTCAATTAACATGTGGTCATTAGACGATAGATTCTGTTGGTAGCGTCTGATATTACTTACCAGCTTGTATTTACCGGTAAATGCCAGTAAGCTATATATTCACAAGTCCACTCAATTGTTGATTAAAATTTGTGAAAACTGCTCAATCTATAATTCAAGGGATAAATTGGTTGGCCATACAATCATTGACAACAAGAATGTGAAAAAAAAACTATCTAGTTTTAACAGAATATTAATGTGATATCGTGACACCAAGTCCAAATAAATAACAAAAGTAGACAGCCTCCGCTCATATCTGACAACTTTTGTAGACGCCGTTAAACAACCACAACATGGATTAAAGTTATTATAGCATAGGCGACAACCAATTCGTACATCCCGAAGAAGCACTCCAAAGTCTGGCTGGACTCTAAGACTAATCTCCTCCAAGCGAAAATAGTGCCCTAGACTTTTAGGTTTCCTATATTTAGAGTAAGGACTTCGTCCCCTAAGGGTGCTTAGTCTATCACTCTGACTAAAGTTGTGGCAGAGAGCAGACCCCATAGTAATTAAGTAACCTATAAGTTGGCTGCAGCACTAGAATGCTTTGGTTCGTATATTTCCTCCAAACCTACCAAGCGGGAAACAGCCCGAAATCGTGGTAAAGACAACCTACTTTTAGCAACACAGCTGGAGACTGACAACTACCACGGTACCAGGCCCAGGACCGGACGCCTAATGATATTTCCATGGGATGCACCACCAACTACGATTATTTGTTTGTAATGTGGGTTTAACACGTAAGCCACTGAGCGAATAATGTTGTTATCTCATCCATATTTTGGGGAATTACTTAACGGCTCGAAAAGACCCACACCAAAAGCTATTGTTAGTTAACGGTCAGTTAAGACAATCGAAATTCACGACAACTGTGAAGTCTAATCAGCAACAACGTATGAACAAGCACTAACTGCTGGCGCTTATCGTGAACAGATTGGTTAATAGTTGCAAACAATTGTTGCGAAAAACAAAGCCGCGTATGAAAAAGGATACATTTATTAAGATCTGTTTATAATAAATAACATCAATACTCTTGAGATTGAGACTTTTTAGAAGGTATATCAGATTTCTTTGGAAGAAGTGCATTTTGAATATTGGGCAATACACCTCCTTGAGCAATTGTGACTTTTCCGAGCAAAGTATTTAACTCCTCATCGTTGCGGATAGCAAGCTGCAAGTGCCTTGGGACGATCCGTGATTTTTTATAGTCTCGAGCTGCATTCCCAGCAAGCTCAAGCACTTCAGCGGCCAGATATTCCATTACAGCTGCAAGGTATACCGGTGCACCAGCTCCAACTCGTTCACTATAGTTTCCTAAACGCAATAATCTGTGGACTCTCCCCACAGGGAACTGAAGACCAGCACGCGCAGATCGTGACTTCTTCCCATGTTTACTACCTGTTTTGGCACCTTTACCTCGTCCACACATTTTAAAATCAAATCCAGTTACTTAGGGACAGCGCTTAAAATAACTTTCGTAGGCTTTGATACGGAAAAACAAACACTAAGAAAAACGGAGTTTGAATCAAGTTTTCAAGACCTTAAAAAATACTTTTTTTCCATTGTAAACATCACTCATTATTAATCTGTTAGACAAAGCTCAGCAGGATTGATCTACGCAGACGATACTTAGATCTAGAGGTCCATTAGAAGCGAAGAGGATTTAACTGAGCTTCAAAAGGAACTTAGATCTATCGAATAATGGACAATGAAAAACTTAGTATGACTAAACCAGTTGAAATTTCACGTTATGTGCGTTCTGGCCCACATGACACAAACGACGTACACCCCAAATGGAAGCACGCTCCATAATGTCTCCTCATAGTTCAGTCTCGGTCTACTAACCCCTGAAAGCCTCGACACCATTTCGGACTATGTAGAGGAGGCAGATAATGCTAGTGCGACCCTTCACTTTATGCGAAGACGTTATCAAGACAAACGTGTCCCCATACCTTGAGGCTCACAAGGTTGTCCCACCTACTCTTCTCAAAAAGAGACAAATCTCTTGGATAGATTGTAGCGACGAGCAGAAAAATGGGTGGTAGGTTTGAAAAGCGAACCGTGTAAAGATATAGTCCAGCACTTGGGATTATTCTTTCTGAGTTACATGCGAACCAGAAGCGATCTGATCGTGGTTTAAAACATATTAAGCACGTCGAATCATCCCAACGTGAGCATCTTACCGAATCTTTACCATCAAGTCTCTCGAGGTAACTCTCGAAAAAGTGTGCATCAAAGGGCGAACACTCGAGTTCGTGTAAACTTCTCATTAATGGTTGTTGAAACTTGGAACGCCCTCTCAGTCGATGTGGCCCCAGCCATCTCTGTGGTTGTATTATTTTGTTCAGTTAGCTACCTAGTGACGAGGAGAAAATGATTTAATACGCTCAATACTTTAAAATCAGTGGATTGTGTCTGCCCTGACTTCGTAAAGAAATCTGATACAGTGTCAATTAGTTTACCCCCTACAAGGCTTGAAAATCTTTCAATCGCTGGATCTCTTCTAAATTTGGTCGTCGATTTATTAGTAACTCGTACGCAGATAGAAATTAAGAATAATTTTCAAGTTTCCCGGATTAGAATTAGTACTTTGAGGAGCACTGGAAGTCTCCATTCTATGTTCTTTACTTTGCATATCCGAAGTTAACACACTGATAAGTGCCATCTATTCCCCGGTGCAACTTCACTCTGGAACACCAAACTTTTGTGTGAAATAACAAGGAACACAAATTCATATACACTTTCCTCCGACTTAGACTACTTAGTAAGTTGATCTAAAACAAGATTAAAGCCTTTCAACTCTACCACGTGTGTACAGGTACACTAAAGATATAATGGCAAATAACTACTGCATTGGAGAAATGTCGATGCGTGTAGTCATTTCTCATAATAATTTAGGTGGTAACAGTAAACCACAATTTTGAGACAACGGCCTATTGTCACTCATATTTAGCTAAAGAACTTACAACTTTATAGGCTTTACCACAAGCATTTACCAAGTCACATATAGATTAGGAGGTGATCTGATGTATGAAACACTAAAGGATTTTGGAGCTGACACATCCTGAACATTATTTCCTACCAGATCTGAGCAAAAGACATATCAGGCAAATCGAAAAGTCGGAAACTGACGAGATATCTGCAGTTTCCTCATCAGGTCGTCATATCTTGGAATCTACTGGCGGAAGTGGTGTCTGAACCTTAACTGACTGACAAGGGGTAAAAGTAACAAAAGATGTATGGTTAAGCAGAACGTACTGGGTGGAAACTGAAAACAGAGATCGATACTTAACATACGGTTATTGTTTCACATATGTTAAATAAATTATACCCAGCGATTATATAAGCATAATTTAGAACCCAACAAAATCATCACATATTTTTAGCGGAACCTCAGCCATAAAGTTTGTCACTAACAACTGTTTCATCATGTTTGATGGATCGTAAGTCTTAACGTTATGAGACATACATGTGACCTGGAGATGAGATATACTAAATATGATGGCTATCGTCGTGTATCCACAGGTAAGGTGTAAGTGACTTTTAAACACAGGACGACAAGTCTATTTCCTAGTTCTTTTACTGACCTCAACTTGGAGACAAATACTACAGAAGTAGTTTTCGAATAGGTTGCTAAGCAAGAATTCATCGTATTAGCTACCATTGGTACGTGCCTACATAGCTGTCCCCACCCGTTTTCGCTGACAGATCAAATTAGAAAACTTCCCACACGTATTGTGGACAAAGCCCATCCTACAGACTATTCTGTAAAGATGCTGGTCAACAACGTATGCTGTCATGGACTGTACTCCTTAACTCTGGTAAAAGTATTTGAATTCTTCATAGGTTAGTACGTTACTGGAACTCATAGTGTCATTTTCAGGTTATCTCATGGCATGTCCTGATTCCTGTTTTAATTTATCTCCTAATATTTTGTTAAACCTCTGGTTCTCATTAGCGGATTCACTTGCTGAATTTCTTCGTTCATTTTTTAATTATCCTATCGCTTCACCTTTTCGATGCTTTTCATTCTAGTGCTCCAATTTATAGTTCAACCAACCGAATGACTGGCTCGTAACTTAGTAGCTACGAAGTTTCCAGAACTCCACTTCGCCAGGAATCTATTTAGCCTGGAATACATCACCTTCTTAGATATATTTCAAGTTCATGAAGGAAGGTGATATATAGTAACAAAGATGATCTCTCCGCATACTGTTTAAAATGGGCGAAGTTGAGATAAATAATTCTCGGCATCTCTAGATGCGGATTCTAACAAATATTTCCCTGATATCCTAACATCAACTGACGTCGAAATTCAATAGATTAGTGCACGTAAAACATGGGCTGTTTCTACGGTGATGGCTAGTACATATACAAATAATTTTGCTTACGATTAGACTTTTGGCAGTGATAAGGTGACTTAACTGAAGGTAGGTAACGAATCCTATAATCCAGCTAAGACAGTTGTTGCATAAGATCGAGCACTCAAGAGTACTGTTTTGGCTTCCACACGACTGCCTAGATATAGTAACGCATCAATAGAATATTTGACTCATCATCTGTAGAATTCTTTTTGAATGTTTTGTGTTTTTGGAAAATCCCTCCATGTTTACATATTTTTGCTATGACATGATGGACTTTTTCTCTTGACATTTTTGGTATTTTATTTGATTCCAATTTGAGATTTTACCATTGTATATTGTTATTCTTTCTATATTTTGTACTTATATTGAAGTTTTTG